AAAAACGTAGTTTTATAGGACGTCTCATGTATTATTAGATTAAAAAAAGAAATAGATAAATCGCGGAATTATATGTCCGAAATTCGTAACTTTTCGGAATATTCCAATAGAGAGCTTAGCTACATAGAAGTAGGGACATGAAAGTATTGAAAAAAAAATATTGATGCAATACAGAAATAAATAAATAAAATAAAATAAATGTATGCTTTTTTTATGGATGATAATGGAATGATAACCCCGCCTGCGCTATCGGTATACACTGGCGGGGCACCAGTGAGGGATGATTGGTGAGGATGAAATGGCAGGTCAGTTAGCCCATCGTGACGAATTCAACGATAAATTAGTCACGATGGTTTCCAGGGGGAACCGCGTGGAGGTCGACCTGTTAAGGTATATTGATAGCGATAGGAACTAACCTCTCCATTACTAACAATTCCTTCCCCCCAATAAATGTATGTTACATGACAGTATGTTTCTGGCAATAAAATACGCACATCAAATCCCAATTAAAAAAAAAAATCCTTGTAGATTGCAAAAAAATAATGATTAAAACTGGTTCATAGTTGACGATATATGAACGTATATGAACATACAACATAATACAGGGGAATGTACATTCCCATAATATTCCTTAATTAGATTAACCATCGTAACATATGAGAATGGTACCAGAGTTTAATAAGATACTGAAGGAAATACACAATTACTCATATATCTACTAACCTTAGATTATATAGATAGAATGTCTCCAAAGAAATGCTGCGCCAAAAACAGGTCAACATTTTTATCCATGTGTGCATGAATCAAGTTACCAGTATGTACAGTTAGTATAGTATTATATTATCTGTGGTACAGTTAATATTAAGTATGTGGAAGAAATTTATATTATAATATTAAATTGATAAATACAATATTCTTACGAATATTTTATTTGCCGAGGTTTTGTCAAGAGACTACAGCATGGGTTTCTTCAAAACGGGGGGTAAAGAGGTCTCTTCAGGGTCGGCAATGTGCGCGTAATGCTCTTGGTATTGCAAGCGTTCTTAGGGTACGTTAACCGTTTATCATCAGGTGGGCCGTATGCTTGTTTGCCAGTGGTATAAAAAAATATTTGAAAGAAAAAATAAACAATGAATAATGATTCATAATGATGCTTATCATTACTGAATACAGTATACTCTGTTATGTCTATAGAATTGTTGATGTCTATACCCGATGGTTACCGCTTTGTATCAGGTGAACCGTCAGCTTCTTTAGCATTCTAAGTTGCAAAAAAATATTTAATTATATATCTCAGAATGGACAGTAAAATATATTTTTGTTTTAAAATATTAAAAATGGCCGCCATTTTAATGAGTACATGTAAATTATTTTTTAAGCATTAATTTAATTATTAATTATTATATTATATCTTTAGATCATAATTATATCATAAAAAATAGTTCCTAATTCAAATTTAAAAAATCGACACGATCTGGTAATTTTTTCATCCAATTACTGGCAACACTAAGAAAAGTGTTTAGTTTTGATAAAAAAAAAAACAGTCAAACGTTAAATAACTAAATTTTGACATGTTTTTAATGCTCGATGCTCTTATCTATATAATCAAAGCTCTTAACACAAGATAATATCGAACCAGTTCTTACTGCATTTAATTAAATCACCAGATGCTCGAACGCGAACCCCTACTACATACCACGTTGTTATAGGTATCTCTAATCCAATATTACGCAGTTTCTCCAGCAATCTTTTTTTATTGCAATTTCGTAGTTTAACTTTTCCCGTTAGAAGAAACCTGTACAAAAATTATCCGCGTGGGTACTTCAGTTTCACTGATGTTTTTACCACGAGGTTGTGTTTACGAGTAGATAACTATACTAGCTTTTACTTGCGACTTCGTCCGCGTGACCGAGATATATTCGGGATAAAAAGCCTGGATAAAAATGAGAAATTTTGTAACAATGGACGGATGAAAGTTTGGTTTTTTTATGCAAAAATTACTGACCCGTTATGTATATCCTAATTTCAGAACAACTGCACCTTTTTGTTTATTTTTTTTTTGTGTTGGTAATGGTCAGGACAAGATTTATACAAATGAAAATGTTTAAAAAATCGTATGGTAAAGTGACAATAGTTTAATAAATTTAACAATAACATTAGAAGCGCATTCTTACGTTTGATTATCGATAATATTACCAATTTATTACCAATGATATGTAGTACTTCTAATCAATTATATGAATCAACAATACAATGCTTAATAGTCATTGTATTATTTCAATATATTATCTATTCTAGAATAGTCTATGTACAAAATTTCATTCGAGTCATTTTAACTGTTTATGTACCAAAAAGTCTACACGCTGTCTCTCTGAAATCGTGGTTAATAATTTTCTACTAAAATAATTTGATTTTTTATTTAATTTTAAAGTCTATGATTACAATTTGTTTATCTGGCCGTGTGGAGTGTGTAGAGACGACTAAGGGAGAGCGAGGGACAGGCAACAGGAAAGACAACGTCCCTTTTAATATAAACGCATGCATTATTCCTCTGTACCCTGTAAATTCACGCCATATCCCACCCTTCAAACCGAAACACAGCCATGCAAACACGACTGTTCACGGTTGAAACACGAATGGGACAGAGGTACCCAAGCAAACGACATTTGTACAAAGACTTCCTCTGGTAAAAATGTGGTAATATCTGTTAATACTAACTTTTTTTTACTTTTTATTTCATCATATTAGTAATAAATTCTGAATTAGGATGCTTTCTGTGTCTCCTATAAAATTTTATCTGTAGATTGAGGTATTTGCAGTTAATTTTACTTTTTCTCTAATTAACGAGCAAAGCAAAAAGGATTTAGCTCATAGTTGACAGGTAAAAACGTGTTTGCGCAGAGAACTCTTTATCTTAATCTCTATTCAAGTAATTACCGCTTCGCTTAGGTCATGCACATAATAATAAGGAAATCTTACTCAGTTGTAAACTTTTAAATGCATACTTTGTGATAATTTTGTAAATAATGGTTCCTGCAGTACTTAATGCTCATTTACGTGGTCGCCTCAATCGATAATACTTACCGTGTTGATCGAAGGTATTCGAAACCACTTTGCATTTTCTATTAAGGACTTTAGGGACAGACTGTTTACAAATACTGAAAGAAAAATAGACTAAAATCGGGGTTGCCACATTGGGTGTTTTTCCAATTTTAAGTAAAAATGTTTTAGCAAACACTTCTTACTTTTACTTTTTTTTTTGGCGACGTTTCGATGTGGATTACACCACGTCATAATATAGTCCCATTCGTGTTTCATCCGTGAAGCAGCTGTGTTTTCATGGCTGTGTTTCGGTTTGAAGAGTGGGATATGGCGTGAATTTACTGGGTACAGAGGAATAACACCTGAGTCCTCAGAGGGGTATCATGGGCGAAACAGTATACTCTGTTATGTCCATAGCACTGCTCATGTCTATAGGCGACGGTTACCACTTTACATCAGGTGAGCCATCAGCTTGTTTGCCATTCCAAGTTATGGTACAGGACTTAATTGTTAGTTTCTATTTATCTACAAAGGTTTTTCATAACGTTAAGTCCTGATTGTGTATTTAAAATATGTATAAACAAAGCGAAAAATTAAAATTAACTAAAAATGTTGTGTTCGCGAGATTTTTGAGAAATGAAATAGTTGGAAACGAATGAAATAGACGTAAAGAAATTTGGCTAATTATTTTGACAGTTTTGGTATTTTATAAACTGTATAGCAGTATATAAATTCAATAATAGATTAATGAAGATAACAACATGAGGTAAAGAAATCAGAGGTATATAACTACTAAAACAACTTTTAAAATATTTGTAGTCCAGTGTTATTTAATTCATTATAATTGTTACTTCATTTTCTCGCACTGTATATATTATGTTAAAGTAAATGCTGTGAATACCTATAACAGGCATGTGCATTAATATTGTATGTATATTTAATGTTTGTTATATGTGTTATAATGCAATATGCTGTTGGTGTTCCTTTAAATAAATAAATATATAATTTAAGAATTAGAAAAGGTAGAGGCCACGCGTTTTATTCTATTAAATGTAGTGAAAATGTGTATAGTGTGTAATTGGCTGAAAGTGAACGAAAACGAAAGCAATTTGGAGAAAAAAAATACTTTTGCGTACAAATCAATAATCGCATCTGGCAACCCTGATTAAAGAAAGTACCCACCCTTTGATCTCGACTTACAGTTGAGCTGAAAAAAACTCATTTCCGCTTTTCGCAAAGCATTTCATTACATGTAGAAATATAATAAAAAATGTAGTTTCGAAACAGTCGTGTCGATTCCGAAACACCATTCTCTCCCTATCTCTGGCTCAAACTGTGAAAAGAGCTCCCTGCCGTGTTTTTCCCTAGAGAGTACAGTATGGGGTTCTTCAAAAAGAGTATATTAAGGTTTCTTTAGAGTCAGCAACGCGCACGTGGTACCGTTAGTGTTACAGGCGTCCATAGGCTACAGTGCCTTTTTGTCTTCAGGCTATATGTTTGCCACCTTTGTGGTATAAAAAAATCTCTAAATCTATAATTAATATTTCTTATTGAAATACAGTAAAATAAATATAAGGATTACAATAAATTATTTTTTACAGAACTGCAACACAAGTGGTTTAAATTTAATTCTGCATGGTACTTACATGCAGTTTTTAATCATCAATTTAAAATTATAATGTTAAAAATATGTTTACGCCGATGATATCATGGTGCTCCTCATGCTTTGCTATTTCTGAGAACTTTGTCATGGTTCCGTATCTCCCTATAATTTCATTGCCCTATCTCACCCTTCAAATCAAACCACAGCAAAGCAAGCATGGGGATTTAGTAGCAGAAACACGTATGTACGTACGTAGAGTAGGACAGACGTGCCAAAGTAAATGTCTTTTCCACAAAGTCTCTCCCTAATTATTTAATAATGCCTTAAACGTAACATTTTTTTTTATTATTTCCAGGGCCTTCGTGTAACCACCATAATCGGCGCCTTCGGAACCTGTGCCGGATCATGGCTCAAGGTGTTCTCGGTTCCACAAGATATGTTCTGGCTCGGCTTTACTGGCCAGACTGTAGTGGCTATCGCACAAGTTTTCATCCTGAACGTACCACCTCGCCTGGCAGCCGTGTGGTTTGGAGCTGATCAAGTTTCCTCTGCCTGCAGTGTTGGAGTGTTTGGAAATCAGGTCAGTCTTATTTTCGAGAAATACAGTATGTTTATTTTCTGTAAAAGTTTAATTCACGGTGTCCTCACCGCGAATTAAACTTTCTGGTGGAAGTTGGAGATTTATCAAATCTAGCACCCCCATTGTTTGCAATAGGTGTAGTGTCACGTGGACTTTTACATACTCTGTGCTCTGAAACCGTTGTGGTTTATTCATGATGAATTAGTTACAGTGGACTATCTCACCTGAGTCACCGCATATACTGTCTTTCACTTGTACTCCGCCAGCGTATATTGATACAGCAAATACCATTTCATTTACATCATTTAAAAAGTTAATCATACGATGTGATAGCTAACAAGAATAACTGTTAAAATGACATAAATTAGGTTTTAAGACATTTCTTGGAATGTCAGTGAATTTACAGGATAAAGAAGTATAACACCTGAGTCCTTAGGAATAGCAATCATGGGCGAAACAGTATACTCTGTTATGGTACTGGTACTGCTCATTTCTATAGGCGACGGTTACCACTTTTCACCAGGTGGGCCGTCAGCTTGTTTGCCATTATAAGTTGCATAAAAAAAGCGCGTATTTATTCCATGCGTCATCTATATCTCCCAAATTCTATTTAGGTATGCTCCAAACTAAAAACTCAATTTCGCAGCTACTCGAAATGAATTTAATGGGTTTACCAACGTTCGATATGAGTGTTAATCAAGGTTTAATGGAATATTTAACGGAGGCTTGTCCCGAACAAAGGCTGGCAACTCGGTTTCCGATCGGTGTAAGTATGCTAATGAGACGCTCTCGAAGACTTTATAGGGAAACTTTAGGGATTATCGACGTTTCCTTTTGTAACTCGAGTACAAGAGCTTCCATGAACTAATTATAACTTGCCCCAAAGGCATACATTTTAATATCTTGTACTACTCTTGTCCACTTGTAAGGTCCTTACCAAAATTGCGAAAGTGAGTTTATTACCTCATAGCGGTTTAATGGCCTAACCAATCTCTATAGAATTTGGTGTACACGTGCTATATGGAGAAGGACATAGGCTACTTTTTATCTTGGTCACTGAACGTGTCACGTGTTCAAATTCGCAGGTAAAAGCTAGTTTATTTGTAAAAGATCTATCTATGTAGTCCTTGTCTCGTCGGTCTTCGGATAGTGTCCTTCTTTCCATGTTCCCATGCCTGTCTATTCTTTGCCAATTGCATCCACTTCACCTCTGCTTAAAACCAATACCGAAAGCCATTCGATCATATTTTGGCTGATCGACCCCTATCGCGACAATAAGGCCAGAGCCTCTTCATTTCAGCATCCTTCTTACTCAACTATTTTGCTTTATTCTTACAATATCGCCTGCTTATGGAAATGAGCAAATAATAGATATTATTAGTAGTAAAGGGTAGTTTTTGTTAGTAATAGTAAAAAAAACAGTATTTTGGAGAGAAAGGAATTGTCAGTAATGGAACTTTTAGACTCCATGGGGTCTGCACCGTTATTAACAAAATATCAGATCGATATCGATTCGGCCTGTCCCTGGAAGACGACGTGGTTAATTCTAGTCAAATTTGTCACGATGGTTCAACTGATCTACATTCATCCTCACCTAATATAACTGGTGACCGGCTAGTGTATACTGATAGCACAAGTGGGGCTACAATTCCATTTTAACCCATTCAAAAAGACACTGCTTTTTCTACTACTTCTCTGACCTCAATAGTTTATCTGATCCTCTCGGTTCTTATTCGCTGTTACTATTATTATTCCGAGCATTAATCTCTTTATGGCTCTCTATGTTTCACGAAGTTTTTTAATAGATTTTTTTTTGTAAAGATTATGATTTTTATTTTTATAAGTCGACTTCACTAGGTAGTATGCATTGATTGATTTATAAAAGATGTATTAATTCCTCCGAATTTACTTAATAGAACAGTACATAAAATATCCTATACGCTAAGTTAGGATACAACCTATCCGTGTTTCTTTCAAATCCGTTCAATAGTTTTCTTTTTTTTTTATACAACTTATAATGACAAACAAGCTGACGGCCCATCTGATGGAAATTGATAATCGTGGTCTATAGATATGAGCAGTACCATGGACATAACAGAGTATACTGTTTCGCTCATGATACCCCCTATGCGGTGCTATTCCTAAGGACTCGGGTGTTATTCCTATGTACCCTGTAAATTCACGCCATATCCCACCCTTCAAACTGAAACACAACCATGCAAACACAACTGGTACGTTTCAGGGTAGAAATACGCACACGTTTTTGCATGAAAAAATAACAAATATCCATTGAACCATTCATCCATCCAACCATGGATCATTCATCCATCCTTTCAAATGAATTTATATAATTAATAAGTTTTCTTTTACATAATAAGTAGTTATAAATAAAATAGATAGTTTGTTTGTAAATAAATAAAAAGTGCGTTTTTCAAAGCACTTTCTTCCACGCACAACCACTCTTTGGAATCAATTTCCAGCAACAGAATTTCCGAACCGATACGACAACGTAACCTTCAAGAAAAGAGCATATTCCTTTTTAAAAGGCCGGCAGCACACCTGCAATGCCGTTGGTGTTGTGGGTGATCATGGGCGGCAGTAGTCACTTACCATCAGTTGAACCGCATGCTCGATTGCCCCCGTGTGTTGTAAAAAAAATAGTTACTATATCTAGTACTGATATATAACATATTTATTTCTTGATTACATTCGTAGAGAATACACAGAAAAACAAGTTATTTATTTTAGTTAATTCGTTATATATAATACCAAGGTCTTTATTATTAAATAAATCCGTATCTTTTATTGCCATAAAATTCGCATTTAAACCTCTTGTAACTAATCCATACACGTTATGTTACAAATCTCTTATCTAAAAGAATAAATAAATCTTAATTCTATTTACCATTGTCCTTCAATAAAATTTAATAAGCGTCACTCGCGAGTAGGATTGCCAACACTCTTTTTTTTGTTTTACGTCAGGAAAAATGCATCATGCAGACCCACACAGCTTAGGGACCGTGTGGGTACTGCCGGACTCCTACCGGCTAAATAACCTGACGATATACCTCCCATCTCATAATAGCGACGGTGCCGCGGGTTCCCGCTTTGAAGTCTACCGGGACACCGCCAGAGACCCATCGAAGGGTGACTTCCTATAGGCGCGCAGGGTATATGCTGCGCGCCCACTCTCGGTCTCCATTCCTCCCGTGATGGGCTTTGTATGTAAGGTTGCCAACCCTACCGAATTGCCCGAGTGACTCCGGTAATAATGGTTAACAGCCCGACCTCCCGGAGTGCAATAATTTCTTCGGTTTTTTCTAAAAATTAAATGCATTTGTCGCTTGCTAGTCGCTACTCACTCGCTTTGCGGTCTTTAATGCTTCATGCGAGCGCGTCATCAGCATGATAGAGCAAGTATGGAGCAAAGAAACAAGTCGAATGAGTATTTCATTAGTAAAAACGAATTAATTAATGATTATTATAAAAATAAATATAAATTAAAAAAATAATAATTAATGATTTCCTTTTAATAACCCCTTGATAAAAATTTTAAACATAAAATTCTTCCGGGTTGGTTAATTCGAGGCTTGGCAACCCTATTTGCGAGGTACGATAAAAGAACACTTACTCGGTAATGAGGAGTCCGTAAATATTGCTAAAATTATTTACTTATTCAGTGCCCAAGACCTGCTCGCTACAGATAAGGGTACAGCATTGAATTATGTTCTCTAATTTTATGCTAATAGAGTCGAAGTTTCATAACAGCAACATCGATTTGAGTGTATTCAGGAAGTGAATAAAATGGTTTTCACTAAGACTGGTGTCTTATGTATGATTCCGTTTAAATTTGTCGTAAATAAGCGTGAATATGCACGCGTCATACTAACAAAGATTAACATAAACAAAATTAAAATTTATTTAAAAGTGGTTATGCAGTGAATTTTTCCTCTGAAATTCATATGAATAATTTGGAATATGAAAATTATGCAAGTATTTGATCGTTACAGAATTTTAGAGAGAACAAAATTAGCTTACGTCCTTTTTGCTCTGCAATATTTAATAAGGTTGCAGAATTGCAAACAAGCTGACGGCCCACATGATGGAAAGTTGTAACCGTCGCTTATAGACATGAGCAGTAACTTGAACATAATAGAGTATACTGTTTCGCCCATGATACCTCCCATGCCATTGCAGAGGACTAAGGTGTTATGCCTCTGTACCCTGTAAATTCACTGCCATATCGCCACCCTTCCAACTGAAACACAGCCATGCAAACACAACTGCTTCACGGTTGAAACACGAATGGAAAACACGAGTGGGACGAATTCCACTGCATATACATATTTCGCATTATATTAGTAACTGTAAAGCAAAGTCACTAATGTTAAAAAATGCACAATGCATTGCAATAGATTTCTAGTTGTTTTGGCTTAATATGTAAGAGCAACTAGCTTTGTCTATTTACATACATATATCTAAGTATACACAGATATAAGTAGGTATTTACAATTAAAAGTGCACTTGACAGACGAAAGATAGAAAAATATAATTAATAAGGAGTGTACAAGACAAGCGATCAAGGTAGAGAGGAAGACAGCGAAAATACACTAAGGACAAGGAATTACATAGAAGGAATCATAAAATAAAAATTGTAAATCATATGGTTGCCTCTTTTCTTCTTATACAAATATAATTAGTAAAAAGAGGACGAAAGATACACCATTATTTGCTATTTTTCTCAATTCAACGCAGGCTAGTGTATAGAAAATGTTTGATATGTCAATTATTTGTCAGTGACAAATTTTACATTACTAGATCATATATTCGACACAGTTTATGTAGAAAGTACGCTAGTAGGCTGTATCTGAATTTGGTAGGGTTATACGGCCGTATAACATTTTCTGTACACTAGCCTGCTATGTATTGATAATTTTATCACTCCTTCTATGTAATTCCTTGTTCTTAGTACATACGTAAGAAGAAATGTTATGACTATA